GTTCTCAATTAAAGGAAAGAACTTCGGCACAAATATTTGTTGGAAGTGTATGAAGATCGAACACTAAAAGATCGACTGATTGGTAGAGCGCACATCAAAGAATTAGTTGACAATGACACTAGGCAGTCGGATTTGCACCTCTATGGAACGGATGGCAAGAAAGCGTGTACTTTAACAGCATTGTTCCAGTCTTATGATGATCCAGTTTATTTGTAATGGTGGTTCATATGACATTCAAACATTATTTTATTGTTTGATGCATTTATATGCGTTCATCTCATTTATAAATACTGATTTGATTTTCTTCTACCGAACCAAATATTTCACTTTCTCGTTTAAATGCTCCATTGCATTCCATTATGCAATCAACATTTCCTCATTTATTTTTGTTACCTTCATCAGTAATTTCGTTTTTCTTAAAAATTTGATGCAAAGTTGAATACTTGAAATTTGCAAAAGATCATCTGGTTGAAAAATTGCATGTTCGCTATTTTGAATGGATATTTTTGGTGCTGATTATTGAATGTTCATGATAATCTGTTATTTGGTTAAGAACATTTGATATTCTTGCATGGGCACACTTATCTTATATAACCACTATGTTACACACTCCCACTGCAAAACAAGTGAGCCCGTTGAAAGCAGAGAAGTTTGTTGTTGTTGTTGGTATGTTTCGTGAAGTCAATGTTTCACTGAATCTTTGAGAACGCACTTGTGCTCCTTTTTGCATCTCGAGCTTTTTGGATTTTCTCGTAAGAAAATTGCATTACTAAATGGCCGAATGATGAAAATTGTTGTGTTGGGTGAGTGCGTTAATTTATTTGATTCGAGTGTTGTCCCGGAATAATACCATCGAATTGCATGGTGTACGTATTTTGGTGTTTGCGTCTCCGATAATGTGGTTGACACTCACCGATACTACGCATTTTTATGTCGATTTGTGCAGCGAATAAAGATTTTTGTGCACTTCAGTGAGTTGGTTCAACGCAACGCAATACATTCTTTCGTTACGAACACACTGAATACTTCCAAATTATTTGCTGTCATGTTTATACTAAATGTAATGTTAATGCTGCTTAAAGTTTCTCATAAGCACATTAAATGCAGCGATTTTTTAAAGCTTAAACACAATGGCTTGCAGTAAATGCTCAGAAATTCATTCATCGCAAAATTGATATACGGCTGAATGATGAAATTTATACGAATTCATTCGCATCACTTTAATGCGCAATATTCGCGCATTAAAGTGATGCGAATGAATTCGTAAAAATTCTGTTCTCAATAGCGATCAAGCAAAGATAGAAATGGCTTTTGAAACAATTGTATTATGAAAATCACAATTTCATGTCCGAATAATATGAAACAACGAAGGATGGATGCGTTCATGAAAATTCATGAAAAAAACATGAGTAGCGAGTGTTTCATTTTCCAGGCGAAAACAATTGTTAAACCGAATTCTAGGAGTAAGCGAATTGTAAAGTGAGATGTAGTTTAGTTGAATTTTGGTCGTATAGTACGAAAAGAGACATTTCAAGACTAATCCATTCAAGTGGATAGAATAAAACGTGTTGATATGACGAATAGGGAAAACGTGAACTGAAACATGAGAAAGATAGACCAGCGCATGCATCAATCGGGTCGGTCATTCGACGATTGTGCAGAGCAGTCGTTTGCGAGGATGTTGAACCCGTTCGGTGTGCTACAGGATTTGCTTGCTTCAATCTTCTATCGGTATGGCATTTACGTATCCTCAAATCCGCGACCGTTCATATTTCTACCTATTTTACTCACTTTCACACTCTCTCTCGGAATACTCACCATTACTGTTCAGGTAAAATATGCATTCATTTTTACATGTGAAACATATGCATTCTAACTGAAAGAATCTATTCATGGGTTTGCAAATTTGGGTTATGATGGTCAACGGCTGCAGGAAAAAGAACTTCACAGAGTCGTTTCGCGATATAAAATGTCGTGATGTTTTCTTTGGATGTCTGACAATAAGAATTTTAATGTCCATATTCATCAGTTGAGAGAGTTTTCGAAAGAATACCGACCGCAACCGATCAGAAATTTGCCGATTTCGAATCGTCGCAATGATGAATTCATTCGATGGTTCGTTATCATTCCGAACGGTTAATCAATAGTCGAATTCAAATACAGTGCTAATGAACTGGAATCATTAGCACGAATGGATATGTTGAATGAGATAGTGAGTGTATTACGCACATGCTCAAATGATGCACACAAATATGTACTGAATCACATTCTCACAATAATTATCAAGCGTCAATCTTTCGAACTTTTCTGCATGCGATCAAAATATGGCAAACTGAAGTTTTTTGTTCAGTTTATTCAACGAATAGTTTCTTATGTAAGCAAGAACTTTTCTATGCAGAAAGCAAGACCACATTCTTTAGTAATTAGCAGTGCTGATGAAAATGATGATTGAGCAATTGCATTGCATTATTAACTACTTGTATTACTTCAGGATGACCTAAGGTTCCTCTACTCTCCAATTCATTCACCTTCCCGAATCGAATACAGCATTCACCGCTCATTCTCTGAGGAGTCCATCAATAGTAGCTACATAGCGGTTGCAGTTGAGCCGAACGATAATATCAATAATCTACTGAGGAAGGTGAGATTGCTATAGGTCACCGAAAAAATTCTCATCTCTATCCTTGCTTGTATGCTTCAATTTTAAGTTTGATAATTTTATTTGACCGCTCTGTATGAAAGGCTTCATCGACAATCGCTTCGCAAAAATTTCTCTGAAATCAGTTAAAAATTTCGCTTTGATTCAGCGATGAAAATCGCTTCTATAAATGCCATTTTGAATATGCATGAACATTCTCTTGAATTTTCGCATTATCTACGAAATTAATGATGATACTCACGATCAAACGTTCACAAACTGCGTAAATAAACGAAACGTAAACATTTCATATTTTACATCCAGTGAGGATCCTACAGCTTCCTGTTCAACCTCCTGAAAAATTTTCGCTCATAAAATCTCGTCTCAAAATTGTTCCATTACCCGAAGTGACTTTCATTCCGACAGTTTCCTTGAAACGAATTTCAGGAAATTTTTGCCGAGATTCTGGAACTGAATAAGTATGTGTTGAATAACTTGACGTTTACACTAAACGATCACACATATAATTTTGGTCATGACATATGTAGTCGTATAGCATTGTGTCCACTCAGCAACACCATTCTGCAGTTCTTTTTCGATGCATTTTGGAGCAAACAGGTTCGCAACATCCTTTTACGTTGTTCTTTGTTCAGAAGAGCAATAAAAAAGCTTTATAAACATGTGTTCCATTGTGATTTATGATAAGTCGAACATAGCAAATCACACAGCATCGCTGCTTCTTTTCATCGTATACTCAATTCGTCATACTGACAGCGTAGTGATGAACTGAAATTTATACAGTTCAATTCAGAATTGATTCGTTGTTCGAAAAAGCGATTAAATTTTGGAATTGTGTTCTGACCTAAATGACAAGATCCGTTGAGTTCTATTAGTGATGAATTGATTCTGTGTAGAATCGAGTGGATAAATTCGAATAAATGAGCAAACGAAGTTTTTGATGCCAATATTATTTGAGCAGTGTTTTTTTGAAGAGCGCATTTGCATTTAGAAATGATTCACAAAAGCAACACCATAATTTCGTGCGATATATGCCTTTCACAGATGACTATTCAAGAACCTGTCATCCCAAGCATAATTTGTTTATTGCATCTGAGTTATCGAAAAGCCGTCATAAATAGGAAACTAGTTCTTTCAAAACACTCCGCGAGTTTGTAGATGAAAGCTTTAAGCTTTCTCATAAAATTTTCTGAATTAAATTCATTCGAATGAGAACAGGTAAATTGATATTGATTGAACTGTATTGATTGCGACGATCAATTGAACAAGTGTGAATCACGAATTCTGTAACCAAATTACAGCTGCGCAATGATCCACGCGTCCGACTCGAATATCCGTTGCTTCATTTCTTCGACAATAAATTCTTTCTTCCTTTGCACCTGTACGGTGTTGAGGTTGATGGTGATCAAAGCATTAAATCAATACAAATGATTCATCTTCATTATCCCATCCCATCTACAGATAACGTTAGTATTGTGAAGTCTGACTTGCAATCTTCAACCATTTCATTATTATTTTCTAATATACCATATTGACATCACTTCGTCATCACCATCAATCGTCATCAGATTCAGCAACGATGTATTTGAAATCACCAACTAAGGGTTCAGAAATAGAGTACATATTCAATCTCTCATTACCAAGATGATTATTTCAAAAATTCATTCAGGAATCGGCAGAGCTCGTGAGTGATGCTTTGGCATACGCGCTAAAACAGTACTTAGTGGCTAATGATAGTCACTTAATAAAAACATCGATGTTTAGTCTGTCAATGTTGAAGAATGAGATGAACAAGAATGCGAGATACACATTCCCGTTCATATCGTTGACGATACTCCTGCTTATATCGTTTACGATACTTTCATGGTGAGTGCTACAGACCATATCTCACCCAAAATTTTAAGTTCAAGAGTGGAAGAATTAAATATCATTCAACGTTTTTACGTCGTCTAAATACCATCTGATCTAATCTGAATGGAGTCAAGAGGAAAATTCATATTAAAATTTAAGTAAACCACTGAACAGAAAGCGAAGCAAATCGTTAGAAATGATTGCATAGTTCTGCGAACTGAGTAGTTCAGCTGAAATCTCAAGTATTTGCAGGTAGTAATGTGGTGTATGCGCTTAACAGCAGTAATCGAGCTGTAGTATATTTTGTGATACTTCTGTGATACCATCTACAATGATAACAGCATCAATAGAATATTTTATGAAATTCTGTTGCAGCATGACTGGAGACTGGATAACCTCCAAACCGCTTGAAGCATTAATGGGAGTTCTCTCATCGTCATTTGCTGTTATTAGTGCAGCTGGTTTCCTCTTCTTCATCGGTGTTCCATTCGTCAGTCAGGTAATGAGTATCCCACTATTACATCCAATCAGATACTTCTAAGTCATCAGCAATTTTGACCTTATACTTTTTACTCATTTGCAATTAATTCCAAATGCTCAGTCAAAAACAGAAATTATCTCAAGCGACCACTTAGCAGTTCGTTTGCGAAGCGATATTATGTCACAATTTATGTTCAAACCGATTGGAAACATCATAAGAGGGCAGTTGGATACCGAACAACCCACTATACTGCGACATCGATTCTGATTAACCAGACATGATTATGCGTTTCAGGTCACAGTCATGCCATTTCTAGCGCTTGCGATCGGTGTTGACGATACATACGTGATGCTTGGTGCATGGCAAGATACAAAAAGGAATTTACCGTCATCCAAACGAATGGGATTAACACTGGAAGAAGCCGGGAGGTTGGTTTCATGTGAAGCAGTTTTTATCCACCATAAGAACAATTCCCTAGATGCATAAACGTGATTATTGAGCAAAGTAGTCCAAATGACACTCCTTTCCAATGAATATTCACTTCTAAGCTATTGAATGCATTCATCGTTGGCGTGATGATAATAGGTAATGAGACAAAAGGCTTCATCGGTCAGTTCAATAATTCATTTAGTGGTGACAGTTTTTCACGGATTAGTGTTTTCGATATTATCGAGCAATTTATTTTACCTGATCGCTTTTCGCGTACAAATTAACTTGTAATTTTAAAACTTCTTGATTCCTCCTCCAGACAATGAGTTGGCTTAATGTACTCCAGTCAACCCATGTTCCTCCATCTTTTGATGATATCCACCGTGGTCATTCGGGTTTCTCAAACTTCTAAGAAGCAGCTGCATGTGCATTTTAATGAAAACTTGAATGAAATCAATTCAGTGCTATCACAGTAACTTCGATCACGTCAATGCTCTCATTCGGAATTGGTGCATTCAGTACCACACCTGCAATTTCAATATTTTGTCGTTTCATTGCAGTTGCAATTATGTTCGACTGGTTTTATCAGGTTCCCCTTATTGCATATTGTTCACATTCAAAAACCTTATTTGATACAGCTGAAAGTTCATGGTAGGGTAATGTAACTATGTAAGATGAACCAAAAATTGTCATTTTAATCCTGTATTTTTATGCTAGAAGATTCCTTCTAACAAACTGTATTATTTCAACGTCTTTGTTTTTGATTGTCGAGAAGAGATCCAAAAGCGATCAACAGAAACGATCATTGAGACGAAATCAACGAGGGTTTGTAGTAATTTGAAGTCGGATAAGCAGGAGTTAATTGAAGTATTCGAGTTTAATCGATTCTGTATGACTTCACTGAAATAAATTCAGGTCACCTTCTTCACGGCTGTAATGGCGCTTGGTGGTAAGCGAGAAGCAGCTGGTTATCACTGCATTTTTGTATGGAAGAAAATGAGTGACGACCAGATTCAAGCAGTAAACATTTCTTTCGATNCAAGTAAGACCTGGTGCTGAGCCCATTGCTAAATCACGTGCCTTTCATTGTTGATTGATATCATAAATCATCTAACAAATTTTACTTTCCAGGTAAAAAGTTCGAACTTCGTTTCACCAACTCACAATCTTTTCGGCAATTACATTGCACCGTTCTTATGTCATCCGACAACAAGAATTAGCCTAATTGGAGTTTATGCGCTGTATATAGTTGTAGCGTTCTATGGTTGCTCTCAATTGACTCCCAATTTAACACCCAGTCGTTTATTGGTTGATGATTCACCACTCACACATTATTTAAAGTTGGCTGAATCGAGGATATGGTCGGAGGGTGTTATTGGACGTGTTTACGTTAATAATGCACCTGATTTCAGTGCCGACCCAAAACAGGTCCGATTTGTTGTGTTGAGCAGATTAAGCCAATGACTGAATGTTGGTCATAACATGACATAAACGCATCGAACGCATTTAATCATGCGTTGAATTTTGTTGAAATTATTTAACAATGAAATACGCAGCAGATGATTTTCACTTCAAGCGATAACTATCGCAAAGAAGTTATTGAATAAAAGACTTATCGAAGAAATTATCGAGTTATTGAACAAATATCCAATTTATCCGCAGAATTGTTGATCCAAGATGTGAGCTTTGTTGTAAATATGGCGATAAGCGATATGCGTTTATGTCATGTTCTCATGTTACACTAGAATATCAATCCTTCAAAATCATGCAGATATACAGAAATGCCTTGACTAAACGTACTTCAGATAGAAGTGATTTTAAAAATGGTTGAGGAACTTGAAGGAACACAATATTCAATTGGGATTAATTCAACTCAGTTGTGGTTAAGAGACTTCCTCAACTATCGACAGTTCTTTGACAACAGTGATGATCAGTTTTATGAGACTTTACATGCTTTCCTCAGGGTTTCGTTCAATTCACATTGGAGTTCGTATCTTCAGTGGGAAGATCACCCAACTAAGGTTATTAATTATTTTTGGTTTCACCATTTTCAATTTTAAACTGAGCGATGATCTCTTAGAAAGGTAAGATTGAGAAGGGATAAATTTTGTTAACAACAAAGAATGTAGACAGATACTATATCGACAGCTCATTTAAGTCCACAATTTGCCCATTTATTGAATCACTGAATTCATTGACGGGGACTAACTCCTCCCAAATAATCATACTGAAACATAATTGATACTCACAATCTAAAATTTCCATCAGATGCCGCATCCAACAAGCTCTAACGACTTCTTTTAAGGTGGGTAAAAAGTACGTTCGACGATTTTTCTTCACAACGGCGTTTAAAATAAGAGATTGGAATGTACGCACGGCATTGTTGTTACAATGGCGTAATATAACACGACGATATCCGCAATTCGAAGCGTTCGTTTTCGATGAAAATAACTTTTATTCAGATCAGGTTGGTAGCGTTCGAAAGCTGTTTAATAATTCGTTAGGGAAATTTGCCGGTGCAGTTGAGAAATGGGATCATTTCATGCTCAAGGAAAGATGAAGGAAAGTTTCAGATGCTTGAACTGCAGTCCACAACACTTTCATCGTTGGGTACGGCGATCATTGCGATGATTATTGTTTGTATATTGTTTATTGGCGATAGTGCGATCGTATTTTGGGTTGTTTTCACAATGATCTCAATGGATATTGGAATTGCCGGATTTTTATCGCTTTGGGGTGCAGACCTCGATCCAACCACAGTCGTGAACATATTGGTTCGTCTAATCAGTATCTCTTCTTTGATTATTTCAAACAAATTCTACATTGAGCCACTCTGTGAACCGATGATACTCAACTTTCTTCAGCAAATGGCCAATTTGGGGGATCAAAGTACAATCAAATCAACCACGTTCTTTTCCCTATCTAGCGAGATTTATTAACAGCCCTGTTAAAAGTAGTGCAAGTTATGGTAGGTTTCCGTATCGGGACAATGCGGAAACCTAACCATCGAATACTTCTCGAGTGGCGAGAACAAATGATTCATGTTTGTCAAGAAATACACTATACAAAATTTTATCTAAAATTACCACTTCAAAGATTGCGTTCAGCATTCCAACCGTTCAATAACACTGTGAGCGGTAGTTAGTGTGTATCAACTAATGAAACTTAAAATCACCCATTGGAACCCAAATTAGGGTTCCAATGGGTGATTTAAACAACAATCTCAATAACGCAGAGTTGAATTCTACGCGTACCGCTCCACCAAGCTCTTGCACTTCACCATATGAAGCAAGTGAACAGTGAATTGTCATTCATCAGTTTCATTCGGCCTAAAGAAATTTTCGAATAGATGATTCGATGAGTGTTTCAATTCGCTTTATTGTGAAATTTTGTCGAATTTCCGGAGCCACCAGAATGTTGAAATAATTTATGTGATGAAGAACTATGCTCGAATGATCACCTGAAATCTGTTTCAGATGAGTATTGGTTTATGCATCGATTTCGCCACTCATGTTGGTTACCGGATTTATCGGAGTGAGTGCTCAAATCCAGATGAGCGAATAAGCGATGCTCTAGGCGCGATTGGATGGCCGGTTGTGCAAGGTGGAGTGTCGACGTTTCTAGCAATCATAGTTATGATACTTGTGCCATCGCATGTGGTACGCATGTTCGCAAGAACGTCGATTCTTGTCGTTCTCACTGGTCTCTTTCATGGAGTTATCATTCTGCCTGTTATCATACGTTCATTTGCTTCCGTTCCCACTAGTGACACAAAAACGGTTCGATGACGCACATTCACGATGATCACCTCTTATTTTACGCTCACACAACATAAGAAGTCTGAACACTTCGGTTTTTGATGACGAAATAATCCAATTGTTCATTTAATTCTTTGAGTAGTTAAAAATCATCGAATAATGAACATTTGCAAGACTTGCTGGATACTAGAGGGGTTTTATTCTTCGTGCTTTAAAAGATTTTTTGCTGAAAATACCCCATTTGAATTTTCATATCTCACTGTTGAATGTCGAAGTGAAACAGATGAATCTTCGAATAATTGCTTTACAATAAGCGGCCTAATTATCTGGACTTCCCTTGCTTCATTTACGTCTTTAACGAACCATCAGCTATCATCATGTATAAGCACATTTGCATGCAATCCAAATAAACAACCAATACGAATCGTAAATGTGATCAATTCCGAATCGGATTATTAAAACCATTTGATGTCTTTTGCACGAATTGACATTTCAGTTCAGTTGATCATATGTGCCACACCCATTATAGTAATGTGTTGTCATGAAGCGAACATCTTGTATTCGTTCAGTCACCAACAATCGCATTTGTATTGCTTTTTAATGGAATGTTGTTCTCATTGTACATACGTATGTCTCAAAAACTTTACTGAATCGCAAACACTGGTTTATGGTTAACAATCGTTTTGTTTAAAGTACATTTCAGCATCTCATCGCGAGAGTGAAACTTTTTCATAGTTGTGGCAAACATACAATTGATTAGACGTTATGAAAAAGAGAACTGAGGATTTTTCCTCACATAGAAAATTGCTCCATATTGAGAGATGACACAAGAAAAAGTGCAACCAGGATAAGAATGCTGTGTGCCGGTTGATTGCCAGATGAAGTTGTGGCTGAAAATAACAGTCAGTTCAAGCAACAACTCATTCAGTATATGTTTGTAATGCTAAAAACTGTTGAGTATTAAATCAAAAAACTCACAAGTAGCCGTAGTAGTTGTTGCAGAAGTTTTTGGACTTTTACTACTGGTGGTTGTCTTATGTGGAGGATTTTTTGCCGTAGTAGTTGTTGCAGAAGTTTTTGGGATTTCACTGCTGGCGGTTGTCTTATGTGGAGGATTTTTAGGCGAAGATGAATGCGTCGTGGTGGTCGTTTGCTTAACAGCTGAAAACTCCTCGATTACCTCATGAACGACGCATCTTTGAATAAAACGTAACGTACGTATTCTTGAGAACAAAATTTCCAATAAATACTGCACTTTTCAACCACTAGTTCCATGTCTAACTTTTGTCATCGAAATAGTTCAGCTTAGAAGGATTATTTCTGCGACTCAGTGCGACGTACTCGAGATATCAACAACAGTAGCTGTAGCAAAAAATATTTTTAACGATATCGCTCTATTAATTTCAGTGCGAGAACTTCTGTGCGCATTGAAGAAGATGTTGGATAATGACGTTTCTTTTCGTACTTTTGGTGAACTCTTCTTTTCTGGTCTGTTCTCTAAAAAATTCCGTTCATTTCTGTACCCTCATTTTTGAAATCAGTCTTGTTCCGTTCTATCTTCACACCATATAATTTTTTCCGCTCGTGAAAAAAGTAAGTTATACTTGGCGAGAGAGTAGTTATCGGATGGTGATGATTAGTTGTGGGTACTGCAGTTGTTATTGGTGGTGGTTTTGCTGTGGTTCTCGTTGAACTGATAAGAGTAGATGGGGTTGAATGTTTAGATGTTACTCTGCTCGTAGGTTTAGGTGTGGTGAATGTCTGGGTGTGTCTTCTGGACGTTGTTGAGGCTAAATTTGAACAGGTGTGGAATAATCATAACAATGTCTATGAGCAATGCATATAGTGTACTGCTGTCCTAAATAATTAGGAGTGAATCGAAGAATTATTTTCGTATTGAATACTATTATAAAATTTGAAAAAATGAAATCCTACGTTTTCATCTTATTTGGAAGTGGAATAATGCGAACGT